AACCGGGGAAGAAGCCCCCGGATTGAAGTTTTCTGGGTAACCAGGTTACACTTTGTCGTTCCCCTTTTTTGCCGAATGACCCTTCAATATAGACGTATTTACATCAAAAATTGCAGACCTAAGTGAAATTTCGGGTTCTCATGGCGGCGGGTATGAAGATGGCAATCTTACGGGTTGTTGTGCCGCGCACGGCTTCAACCCAAGACAAATGCTTAATATTACAGGCTATATCTTCCGGGAGCCAGAGTCTCAGATGGTCTGAAAAGGACCAAACTACGCGTGACACCCCTGTCTGACCGAGACGCTGCTGTCTCGGATCTGTTTATTCGCTCGTCCCTCTCGACTGATTTACCAATTCAATTACTGCATAACGTTGATTAGACCAAACTCCGGTCTACTTATGGGATCCGCTAAACACGACACAAAGCCACTTCTCTGAACACGAACATATGGCGTGCTCTGTCGTATAATGTCGTCTAATTGGTACAAAAGCAGCCCCAAAACCAAATCTAATTAGCATCCCACTGAATTGAAATCATACGGAACTGATTTTTCGAAGAGTAACAAAGGCAGGACGTGCGAGCCAGGTATAGGGTGGTCAGGGTGCAGCGAAACCACACCTAACAGAACTGACCCATGGCGTGTGCCCACTATCTGCTGCTTGTGCCCCATCCTTTATGATGCCCACTATCTTCGGGTTATAGCCCATGCTTTATGCCCACTATCTTCGGGTTATACCCAATGCTTTATGCCCACTATCTTCGGGTTATACCCCATGCTTTATGCCCACTATCTTATGCTTGTGCCCGATGCCGTGTGCCCACTATCTTATGCTTGTGCCCGATGCCGTGTGCCCACTATCTGCTGCTGACACTGTACGGTCGTGTCCCCTCACTCAAGTGCAGTGAACAGAGAACAACTAACTCTCTTCCAGTCGTCGCACTTATGAATGCGGGAGCAACACTTAATACAAATATAACAAGAGGCACTTGTGGTAGCAAGCTTCATTTAGTTTGTATTGGGGAAGGAAGAGGGTGGCTTTATTGGCTTAATGCAGGGGGTTGGGTTATGTTATAGCCCCTCTAGGGTTAAGTTAAGGTTAGATAATGTATTCAGTACATTACAGAGAGGCAGTGCTTTGATGTCCGCTAACATACTATTCTGTCATGGTTCGTTTCCACGGTCCCTCTGCAACTCGATAACGCTTCGCCCATAATTACAAGACTTCACAAAAACACGATGTTCCACAGGCGAAATGGCTGAGTAGAACCACGAGTAAGAGCAGTGGAGTCATTCTTCGTTTATTTAACAGCGCTTTGTCAACTGCAGAGGTTCTGTAGCGCAGTGAAGGCAGGCAGGACCAGCTGCAGAGAACGACGCTGAGCGCGCGCTATTGTGCCACTAATCCGATTATCTACATTTTGAAATGGGGCGAGAGTGTTTCTATATATAAAAATCCCGCTCACTTTTCACATTATAATAAAAGCTTTTTCTTTCCATAACGGCTTGAAGATCTCTCCCTTTCGGTGAGCGTTCAAGCCTTGTCCTCACGTTTGTCCACATTTTCAGTGACTTAAGCCCGGACTGATCGTTGCTCGAGACGACCTGGGTCTAAGAATTTGTCAAGAACGAGAGAAATCAAACACGCATTACGAATTCAAAATGATATTTTATTTATTTAGTGTTCTGTCTGACGACAGGTCCATATGAACAGGATCCTTCCATCCTTTTCTCGGACTGGGACCTGTTCATATACGTTCTTGGCAGATGATCCAGAAGCGGTTTGCCATTGCCTTCTTCTGTGCGTGAATGGAGTAATTGTTGGGATGCCAATGAGGAAAACTCCGTGTTGCCTAGGCCACGGCCTTGCCCAACACAAGTTATAAATTCGGGCACCACCGGGAATCGAACCCGAGACCCCAGGATTACAAGGCCAGCGTTCTAACCGCTAGACCACCGTGGCAATTTCGCCACAGTACATGATTTATAATCATTTTCGTCATTTGAAAATATATAATCTACGTAATACATACAGTGTCGTTAAATGAACAAAGATATACAGACGGCCTTGGAGTGACTGAATTTAGATGCAGGACTTAAAAACGCTCTTATAACCAGCCATCGGTCTGCTGTTCTATCCCCGGGCTGAGATTTTAACATCTCCCTTCATCCATTACCAATGCAAGTGAAGAATCTAAGACTTTAATTTCTTTCGTCTGAAAATTTTAAATCACATACAAGAATAATTTAATTAATTTTGTTTTTCATTTATACCATTACTCACGTCATTTTAATAGAGATGGCAGCAATGAAACATTTCGTACCTGGGTTTTGAAGTCTGCAGCCGTGGAGAATTGACTCATAGGAACTGAACTGCACTATTAAGACATCAAACAAGAAGAAGTCTAAGCAGACCCCCATTCATAATTTAAAGTTTGAAAAGTATAGCCCTACTGAAACTGAAAAGAACCCATTCTCTGGTGCAGACATCTCCTGCACACTAAATGAAATGGTTATATTCTGACACCACGGATTCTAACGTTGTGGGGCTTACAGGAAGGTGCCGGAACAGAAAGATTACGTCTTACAACTGAGTAAGAGATTACATGCCGGAAGAAACAACCGAGTAACCGAAACATCCATGGCGGAGCGTTACTAATTCTCTCGAATTTGAACTTATCTTTTCTTCCAACACTAATTTCTCCATTGCCCCTTCTTTATTCTCTGCTTTCTTTCATCATAAACACACTTATATTGTAACAAGTAGTTGTAATACCTATTGTCCATAAACTAACGGACAATTTGAAGGGCGTTTAATTATTTATAACGCACGAAATACTTATTTATGAACTTTCGTGGCCACACATAAAAAAACTTGAATGTCGTGTGACTGTTCTGCAGAACATTTTTCGTGTGTAAAAACAAATAATTATACGCCCTTCAAATCGTCCGCTAATTTATGGGCACCCGGTACAATATTTATCTAACTCCTAGTGCACGGGAAAGGCAGAGATGAAGGAGAAGGAAATAAATTCAGGGCAATCTTGTCATACACCGATGACCCCCCAGCAAATTTGTGTATGGAGTTAAGAAAGGGACGATGGAATGCAGCTCACGTAGACTGGGCTACGGGGTGGACGACAGGAGTTCGATTCCCGACGGTCATTCAGTAGATACAAAAAAATTCTCGCGTTTTATGAAAACCATTTAATTACCGTATTCACACGAGCCAGGCACTGGATCCTATCCTGATCCAAGTGAATTCAGTTCGCATCCTACGAGTTTCCTTAAGCCGCCTTAACACTGTCCTCCCACATAAGCCTGTGTCCCAAGTGGTCCGTCACCCTTTCAAACCAAAATGTGGTATGCATCTCTCATCTGTACAGTATGTGATACGAGTCCTAATTAATCTGACGATCCTAATATTTTTCTTATTAATTTGAAATGTCAAAGTTGTGAAAAACCAACACAGAAATCTGGAATCTCCTAAAATACCCACGAGGAACAGTGCGACATATTGGTTGAGTATGATCTTGCCCGGAGAAATATACTTTCGATAAATAAGCCTCAGAAGTGTTAAAAACTGGCTACAAAGTTGTTGTCTAACATTAAGCCGACGTTACCGAGGGTCCTTCTGTAACCTAGACCGCCAATACCGTATTCCACAGATAATGTAACATATGCGCTCTAGCGGACGCAGAAACACATAAGGAACAATGGCAGCGCCTCTATGATCCGACTTCTGAACTACAACAGCAATCGTTGTTGGCCCCGGGGTCGATAACGTAAATTCGCGCAGCGTCTCTCATACCGACAAAAAAATCAAATGGAACTAATACGAAAACCACGGCACAGAACCAGTTCCATCCTCGTCTTCCTCCCAATAAATTCCTGTAACATGCGACTTAATATTATTTCTCTCAATTTTCGAAGTGGTCCATTTCGTAAAATTCTCTTCACGACGATCTTGTCTCGAATGGACAAATGTACTAGAAATGCATCCAATCGTGTGACAATTAGACACCTAGGAAATTAGGAATCGCCTATAACGAGAAGTTCACTCATAATTCTCTCTGTTCCGTTTCTTTTCGAGTATCTTCCTCCGTCTTCCTTAGTTTATTCATTCTCTCCCTTGTATTTTGTTCCTTTTACCCCGGTTTTCCAACCCCCTGTAAAAGGTCTCCACATCTCTTGTCCAAAAGACACTCAACGTGCAGTACGTGGCGAAATACTCGTCTTATGATTGCGCATCAACTACCAACGTTGTCGACACAGGTCACGCACATGACGATGAGTATAATTAAATCTGTTTACTCGACTGTTGTGTGACAATAATTTGGTTTTCGATACCAAATACCTAAGCAGTGGCAACCCGTGGGGGGGGGGTCGTGTCGCATTGAGAATTTTGGTTGGAAAACATAAAACGAAAAGACCTAATCAGTAACGTGCTAGTTTGAAATTGATGTTACAAAAACACTGTCACGTTGTCAACTGCCTCGTGGGTGGTCAATTGGCAGAGATACTCGAGGTTCAACTTATTCAACTGAAGAGGCTCGGCGAAGATTCTGTGCCATTGGGGGGGCGGGGTCCTTATTTAAGACATCAAACTGCTGTTGACACGGAAAAGTATCGGTGTAAGGTGGAGTACACCATTTACAACTTTCGAAAAATTGATATCAATTCTAAGGGATAGATAGATCGAGGAAGAGATGAGACGATAAAACATCTTAAAAAAAAAGACAGTGAAGAAGGAAGAATGCTGGAACTCGCTCAATGTTTTGCCCTTCCAGTACGTAGGACGCCAAAGAAAATCATAGCATCGCCTTTCCGTTTGATGATCGTAGCTCAAGAACAAAATTTGTGCGAGAATTTCTTTTGAATGTTGACGTTGCTATGCTTTGAGACTGTGTTTGACAACTCAAGTCATGGAAATTTGTTACGAGAAAGATGAATACGTTGTGTAATAATTAAATTACAACTCTCTTTCCAGATGGGAGCGTTTAAAGTTTAGTTACTTACAAATAAGCATCGGATTCCGATAATTAAAAACAGTGCCTCGGGTTCTCACGTCCTAGCAGTTCAATAAGACGCAGTGCTGGCTCTCGTAATTGCGTTCCTGCGCGCATTTTAATACCACAGGAGCGCGTGGAATGTGGAATGTGGAGCATCCCCAGGGACTCGCAGAATTGCAGAGTGGAGTAAATTGAGCAAGGAATGAGAAGAAAATGGGATAAGGGAAGAAGAAACGAAAGCCACGAGTAGAAAGATAAACAAAATGTGAAGGAAGAACAAAGAGAGAGAAACGAAAGAACGGGGCAAAAGCTATGAAGGAAGAGAATGAGAAGGAAATAAAAGCTAAACAGAAAGATGATGAGAACGTTAGGAGGAAGGTATAAGGAAATGAAGGCTGTGCGGGCGGGTACATACATAAGGCGGAGTCGCTCCGGTCTGCATCACTCAGTCTCCACGTAACCATGGAGCCGACCGCACCATGGCCGCTGCTGCTACTAATCTCGACTACAACCACAGCCGCCCGGGTGTTCCGCATCCCGCTGGACACCAACAGCACCTTCTCCTGGACACTGGACTATCCGGCACGTACCGTCAGCATCGAGGTGCACAGTCCCGCCGAGAAGAACCACTGGGTGGCCGTTGGCTTCTCAGACTACGGGGATCTGGTAGGCGCAGACCTCTGCGTGCTGTGGACGGACTGGCGAGGTCGAACCCACTTGCAGGTAGGCCTACGAACCCTCACAGATCCACAGACGACAGCCGTCTTACTTCTCGCCGCTCACGATCCGATTCACATTTAATTCGAAGCTACGTAATCTCTGAAATCAAAACAGATCAATTAATAACCTACATTAACTACCCACTTATTTACTCTGACTGGCTCACATACAGGAAGGTCGTAAGTTCACAAAAAATGGCTTTTTTGCAGAATTTTGTGATTTTCTTTCGCTCCTCCAAGCACAACAACCATTTTCACTCGTGGCACAACCTAATCTGTCAAAGACACATAACGGCACACCACAACACTTCGCCTCACGAAAATACTTCGTGCTCGCTCTGTAACTGTGCAGGCTTAAGAAAACAAAACCTAACACATATTGAATAAAACTATCGATGACGAACCAGTGTGTGTATTACGAATTCTAGTTACAATAGACAAGACATTACTCTTTTTCTCACTATAACGTGTCAACACACTCGTGGCACACCGTCTTAAAGCCGAGCCACGATATTCCCCGTTTTATCTTGTCCTGTTCCTATAGCCACGTCGCTCTCAACACCCTGGTCTACCTTCAGCGGTTGTTTAATAATCACGGAACGTGGGTGCGTGCACCCAAGACTTCAAACCCTTGCAGGGAGATTCTGCCAGTGACCTAGCGCACTCAGCGGGGCTCTTGGCACGGCTGCAGGCCCAGATCGCAAACACGTCCATAAATTATGTGCTCACCGTCCGAACAAAATGTCCCACGTCCCTGATTCTTAACTAAGTACCACGCAATGCAGACGTATGGGGGAGTGGAGGTGTAGCTCCACGTTGTCAGCACTGACGCTGGGTGGCGAGAGGTTAGCTTTTCGCCCCAGTCATTACCCGCGAGAAACGAATCCTAGTGCCGAATTCAGAGGAGTCCCATTGCTGGCCTGGACGTTGCAGAGATCTAAACCCTGGTCGTCCAGCCCGTTAGCCTCGTCACTAAACTGATCAAACTATCCTGGCTTGCTGGTCTAATTTCTCTGACGACACTGTTCAGATGCACGCATTCATACGCCGTAGAACAAGAACTGATACATGATTACTAAGGGTTGGTAGGAAAAGTTCGCGGCCTATTTTAATGTACCATTGCGGAATTTTCCATACGGACTGAGAGAATTCACGAAAAACCTTTGCTTCACGGCCGAAATGCGCAACAAAGCGCGGGTCGCGGTCCAGGCAGGAGTTTTCATTTAGAACATTGGCCTATCCAGAGTTCAACAATTCGCCGGTGCCAGGGTAAACGGGACAGCCGAAGTATGATACATACTTCATAGTCTGTGTTTCATAAAAAAAGCAAAGCTGTCCCACTATACTCCTTGTAACACTTGGGGGAGGGGGGGGGGTTATAGATCCTACTCATTTTTAACCTCGGCACTCTCGCTTTACCCCCGGGGAAAGGACCCCGGTACCCAAAGTAAATGAGGCTGGGTGGGCAGGCCCCAGAACCAGTCTGGACACAGGGGCTAGAGGAAAAGTCCTCTGCCCCCGTGGGGGATCGAACCCCGGTCATCCAGTCCGTAGCCAGTCAATATACTACGCCGGTAGTCAGTGTTTCACCTGTAATTTCGAAAAACGATTACTGAGGAACTAATTACATGTGTAGCGCATATATTTAATTTGGGGGGAGGAGGGCAGAATCAATCTGATCTCCTGATTGTTGCAGGACACTTGGGTCGATTTAAACGGCCGTTCAGTCGTGGACTCCCAACAGGACTGCCTGGGATTCAGGCACATACAGCTTAATGACGTCGTAAAGTTCACTTTCACGAGGCGCTTCGATACCTGTGACCCACAAGATTACGTCATTGAGGTGAGCTCGATAAGATCCGTCAGACGCACTCCCGATAAAAGCTTTGTGTTTTCCTACCACGAGCAGCCTCCGGCTGTACAGTCGCCACAATAAATTACTTCACTGTGCAGGAAGGCACGACACACGTGGTGTGGGCGCGGGGCAGAGGCCCCCTGTTCCGGCTGGAAGGTCTCAACGTGTCTAGCGCCGCTCACAGCGGAATGCAGCGGACGCAACTGCTGAAGAACACTTGTCCTCTTCCCTCACACCCGAGGGACACGTGGCACCACGACATCCTCAACAGCGAGGTGAGAGTGTCTGGCGATGACACCACTTACTGGTGTCGCATGCACAGGCTGCCAGCAGCGCTACGCACAAAGCACCACGTCGTCCAGGTACGACACAAAACTCATACTGCCATGTTGTTCTCTCTGTGTGTGTGGGGCCTGTGTTCACTTTGGCCTTTTCCCAAAGTATGAGGCAGTGATCCAGCCCGGGAATGAGGCACTTGTGCACCACATGGAGGTGTTCCACTGTGAGGCACCACACACCCAGATAATGCCAGACTACCAGGGGCCTTGCTTCTCAGTCGAGCGACCTGAAGTCACCAAGGTGTGCAAGAGAGTGCTGGCTGCATGGGCCATGGGGGCCTTGCCCTTCAGCTACCCTGAGGTACTGAATTACTTCACTGTTTCTAAGTATGATGTTGTTTTAGCAGCCATCACACAAAGACTTCATCTGTTTCAGGAGGCTGGTCTACCAATTGGAGGTTCAGATTTCAATCCCTATATCATGTTGGAAATACACTACAACAATCCAGAGAAGAGAACAGGTGGGAGGGAAATAAACTATTTTATTTTAAATTTATAGTTAGTTTAGTGGGATGCAGTGTCTTCTGGGTTGTTGCACCATGAAGTCTGGTAGAGTTTACTGACATTTCAAAGCCAGCAAGCAGACTCCATGGTGGAACAACCTGAAGACAGCCATCTTCAACATCTGACCTTACTATCAAATTGTTTAATTGGCATTTTAAATGTAGGATACGTGACATTAACTGAGATACAAAGAAATTTAAAAGGAAAAAGTTGTTACACTTGAATTAACCTGCACGAGGTAACGTGAAAATACATTTGTATGATTAACACATATTGCACTTAGCTGGCTGAGGATATGCTCCAATTGCAGTGATAACAATACCAATACAGCCAACTTAAGAAAATGATTTATTTTCCAGACTGGGTAGACAGTTCAGGAATACGTATGTATCTTACCCCAACATTGCGGCGCTTCGATGGTGGTGTCATTGAATTAGGTCTCGAGTACACGGACAAAATGGCCATCCCACCACATCAACCTGCATTCGTACTAAGTGGCTACTGCATTACCGAGTGTACTGCCGTGGTAGGTGCCTTCTCTTAGCAGCCATACACTTCATACACTTAACTATGTCGCTGAGCATCCAGTCACTTCACACAACCATGTGTTTGCAGGCTGTTCCACAGGAGGGCATTGTGATCTTTGGCTCTCAACTACATACACATCTGACAGGCATCAGGGTTTTTACACGACATATTCGGGATGGCCGCGAGCTACCAGAGCTGAATCGTGACAATCACTACAGCACACACTTCCAGGAGATACGGTCCTTAAAGCGACAAATCAAGATCCTTCCGGTGAGTGAGGATCAATTCTTGGTATTCCAGGACACATGCAATCTATAAAAACAGCAGGGTGGCAGGACATTAACATCATGTTTGGGAGTCTTCCAGGTCACTTGAAAGAGGAATGGGGGTAGGTACTCCAAAAGAATTGCCTCAATTTGTGCTCTTTAAATTTTATATTTGAAAACAGCACATAAACCAAGATTCGAAATCTTATAAAAGAACTCTCAGATTTAGTTTCCATACTGTACTGAATTACACATAACCTGTACCTGGTGAGGTAACCTTGCCACTGCCATGCTTTTTACAGGGAGATGCACTGATTACAAGCTGCTGGTACAAGACCACAGATCGCAACAACATTACTCTGGGAGGCTTTGCAATCAGTGAAGAAATGTGTGTTAACTACATTCACTACTACCCAAAAATTGATCTTGAGGTGTGCAAGAGCTCCATCAGTTCTGAGAGCCTGCAAACATACTTCAGGTTCCTCCATGAGTAAGTGCAAAAGGGTGAAAACAAGGCTAAGTGTCTCCATTCTTTTGTTCTCTGTGTACTGTTATGATTCCTACATTCAGCCATTGAAGGGTGAAAACAAGGCTCAGTGTCTCCATTCTTTTGTTCTCTGTGCACTGTTATGATTCCTACATTCAGCCATTTCATTCCATTTCTCTCTTCATATCTTCTTCCAAGGGAACATGCCAATTGTTTTACATGCATCTTTGCAAGTCTGCCTAATTATTTTTGAGCAAGGTGGATAATTTTCATAGCACTTGGTATGTCACCTTCTTAAGTTTTACCTTCCCACTTTTAATAACAATGACTTCTTCTTCTTCTATGGCTCTCCGGTCCGTATTCGGTCCATGGCCTCCTCAATTCTCCTCTTCCATTCGGTCCTCTGTTAGCTTTGATTGAGGTTTTGAAACATCTTCTTTTTTACGGTGCAAGGTTGTTAACCTTGCGACCAACCCCCAACCTGGAGGACCAGGGTACCTGTCTTAGTCCGACCTCTCCCCCTCGACCAATCTGGCTAGGGAGGCCCTATCAGTAGCTATGCTACCGCCAGCATAGCTCTTGGGATCACTGAGGTACTCAAGCCCCACCACCACCACGACAAGGTGCAGGTATCAATGACACCAGTGCAAATTACTGAGATAGGAGTGATATTAGCACCATTTAATGTGCATTTGCAAAATGTTGTTTGAGGGCAGATTTTTACAGTCACTTTTGTGTAAAACAAAACTGTTCACTTATTACTGAAATTTCGTATGTCGATCAAAAGCGTGCCCACAAGTTTTGTTCAAAATGTCAATTTGCCTGTGAAGTCTGCCCCATCTTTATTTGAGTAATTTACATAACGCTTTGCGCTCTGCCTGCATTGATGTTTGACTGTAGTTGAAGACTAAGATGTAAATTCAGCTAAATCAATTACTGGTAACACACATTCTCTTAACAGCCATCCAAATCATGCTGCGATGCTTGCAGTAACTCGTCATATGTAACAGCTGACTAAGATGTCAGACAACTTACTGCATGTGGTGTGCATGTGAACCTTCTCAGTTGTGTGTGGTATTGCAGGTGGGAGGGACAGGCCACTGGACCAGATCTAGGAATCTCAGACAACTACGAGTCTGTGAACTGGTCCCCAATGAGGGCTCGCATACTCCACGAGCTGTACCACGAGAGTCCCCTGTCCATGCAGTGCAATCAGTCCACAGGAGAGAGATTCCCAGGCTACTGGGAGAACATGCCCATCACCCCTGTGCTGTTCCCACTACCACCTCATCCCAGGGACTGTGCCACACATCCCTAGGAGCAATGACCCTGTAGTCAGTCACATGTAGATACACTTACGTACAATAAATACTAAATGCAATGTAATACTTTGTTATGTAATCATGTGCAGCCTGAACTAAACCTGCAGGGGGGATTAAATATATTCCTAACCTCAGCATCAGGTGCACGCAAATGCTATGCTTCAGGCTTTAGTTATTCCACCTCCCATGGCCGACTGGCCCCAAAGACGTCAAGACACAACGGAGTGAGGAAACAGAACGGTAAACTTGCGACACATAAAGGTACAAAGGGAAGTCCAAGGTGATTAATTGATCCAGTCCCCAACACTGACTTGCAATCACTATAATCTGGACAGATATTTTATGAATGACATCTGAAGGAATGAGTTATTTACCGGTTCCTCACGATGTAGCACCTTCTGACCTCCTACCAGCTTTCAACCATTTTCACAATGCCGTTGCTGCTCCAGCTATGATCTCCCGTTGTTCTGTAACAGAGGCAATCTTTTGCTTAAGCCTTTTCTGCAGTCTGCACCTTTTTCCTTTTATTCAATCAGCTGTTGTATGTCATTGATTTTTTCACTGTTCTATATTTTAACCCCCTTTTAGAAAAATTCCGATGAATGAGATGACTGCAGACTTGAATGAATGTCCTATAGACAGATATGATTGAAACTTAAGCAGCCTTTCCCCAAAAGAAATGGCTGCTTAACTAGGTTTGTTTATCTGAATCACTGTTACCAAACCTGTTATCTTGAGACAATGAACTAGTGAAAACAGGATGCAAGAAGGGAACAGTAAAAGCATCAAGTGTTGCAGGTTTGGTTAAAGCAGGCCAACTCAATGAACACACACAAAATACACCCCAGAAAACAGTAATCTTCTTGTCGGCCATTTTCAGTCATCTGGGATGATAGCCACAAATTATAACATTGGTACTTATTGAAATTTTCCTTTATAAATTTTATCCAGGTACATACATATTTGTAACAGTGCTTACCAGTGATCCAGCTGTTAACTTTCATGGCTTGGTATTACTGGCATCATGGGTTCAAGTGAATGTATTCATCAATGAACTGAAAGAAATATACTGCACAACATTACAAAAATACAGAAGCAAGACTTCCCAGTCAAAAATAAAATGTGAACATTCCTGACCTTTCAGTACATATATATATATATAAAAACTGGAAGGAGCAGCAGGATGGGTGGGTGACTGAAGGGATTGGGGGGGCTGTCCCCAATTACTTTGTCAGAAGGCATTCTAGAAATACATTTTAATTATAATATATTTCCCTAAAATACACTTATGCATTATGAGCATATAGGCCCTACATGGAAGGGCATATCTTGAAAACAAATGTATTCAGTACTTTTTACACAGTTGATAGTAGAAGCAAAAGGGCAAGAATGTTATTTGATTGCTTATTGCTTGTAGCTTGTTCTGAAATTCTTTGTGACCCGAACAATAAATAATAAATGCTAATGTCATGATTAATTTGGAACGAGATACAAACTGCTATCACAGTGTTCTGGAATAGGGTTACAATCACATGGAATTATGGGAGGCAGGCCATTGTTACCTGGGTGTAGTCCATTCATTCACCCACCTCCACGCCATCCTAACGACACCTGCCACCCACTATAACAATTGCCAAAAAGGAAGACACCTTTTCTTTTAAATTTTGGAGACCAGAAACCATATATCATCTTATGAAGAAGTTAAACAAGAGACATGCTTCTTGCCAACTGGTATCAAACTAGGCTAAACAAATCTAAAGTTAAGAATACTTTCATGTCAATGTTTAAATTCTAGTTTTTTATGCCACGTGGATTACTTTCATGTCAATGTTTAAATTCTAGGTTTTTATGCCATGTGGACTGTCCACATGGCATTACAAGCCAGAAGTCCAACAGCGACATCTTCACTGCTATGAGAATCTCTAATCCCATCAACATTAGTCATTATGACAGCTCTGAGAAACAAAAAAATGTTTCTTCACTTCCTTTCCAGTAAATGTTATATAAACTTACACTGATTTCCCTGACCCTAAAAAAAATTCCAATGACATCGCACCAACTGTCATGGCCTCTGCTTGCACCTACAATGTGAGCACTGCAGCCTACACAACACTAAAACATCAGCTTGAGTATGTCGTCCAGTCAATGCCTCTGCAACAGTGTGCCAGCATGAACCTAAATAAAACTACACTATAACATAAAAACCAGCCCATAACAGTGTAAGTACAGGCTGCCCACAAAGCTACTCACTAAATGTTTTGTACACAAAAAATAATAAAACTATTTACACTCATGGCAAACATTACTGCAATCAGCGTCTCACACGAAGGCACTTGGGTCTGTCACTCCTGGCAAGGCTTAAGGCACATTTGGATTGTGGATTTTGGTCCCATATGAACAATCACAGATAAACGCTGCTCCACAGAGTGACATGCAAGACAATCTGGGTGTTTAACAAAATTATTTGTACAACAGAAGGAATGTAGCAACAGTTCACAACACTAAATATAGATGGCTTCTGCTTGTTTCTGGTGCTGACTGCTCGCCACATAAGCATTTGCCACTGGACTGTGAATTCCTTCAGACCAATCAGAGTTAGAATGTGGTGAGGAAGAGGACCAATCAAAATTAGAGTCTGGGGAGGGTGTAGTGGTGCCTGGATATAGTGCTGGGGTGTCGCTTCTGGGTTCTGTGAGTGCTGGCTGGGAGGCGTGAGGTAGTGATAGTAGTTCACATTCTGCTGCTGCTGTTGTTGCTGTTGTTTTTGTTGTTGTTGCTGCTGCTGCTGTTGTTGTTGTTGTTGCTGCTGCTGCTGCTGCTGTTGTGCCTGCTGATTGTTGGCACCTCCAGCACCCATTGGCTGCTGCAGTTGCAGGTTTGCCAGCTGCTGCGATGTGCCATATGCCAGAGGGAGCTCTGCTGAGGACGAGAAGTCGAAGCCCATGGCTAGCTGCTGCTGCTGTGGAATTCCCCCATGTTTCTGGTGGGTTGCAGCCCTCATGGCAGCAATGTGTGTGGGAGAGGTGGGAAGTGAGGTCTGTGTTTTCGAAGGGGAAGGAGACCCCATGTAGCTGGTGGGGGGAGACATGGTTAGGTTGGAGTTCACACTGTGAGGGGGTGACTGTTGGTTGCTGTAAGGAGGGGATAATGTGTTCGGATGCTGCAGAAGCTGCATTTGTGGCTGCGAAGGAATGCTAAGGGGCAGTGATGTCTGCCGCCCATGTTGCTGAGGCAAGCCTTGCTCATGGAATGCAGGTAGAACTCCATAGTTCCCTGCCCTGTATGAGTCCAAACCAATGTTATGCAGGCTCTGCATGGAAGCAGCTCCCTTGATGCAATCCTCGTAAGATGGGGGCTGCTTGCCCATCAGTCCATTGCCCCCATCCAGCCCAGCATGATGCAGCTGTGCCAGAGTCAGTACCCCATTGCTGTAGAGGGAATTGTCATAGGGGCTTGGTGTTCCATCTGTTGCGCTGAAGCTTCCAACTGTGTGTGGGGATTCAAGGGACGTGACAGGTGACGCCACACTCTCCACACTCTGAACACCATGAGGTGGTTCTGGTTGGGCCTGTGCCACCGGTTTCTTGTTGCTTTTCTTGACACTGGGTTTCCGGCGTACTGTCACTACTATCCCATCTGCATCAGGGCTAGTAGGAGAATTTCCAGTTGCACCCACCAATCCACCATTGTTACTGCCAGCCTTTGTCCGCTTCTTTGATTTTGGTGGTTTAGCACCAGCACCTATCACCGTTGGGTGTGTGATCAGGTGATGGTGATGACTGGGAGAGCCTGCAACAGATTGTCCTGTTACAACTGTGTCCCTACAATAAGTAAATTTATCTGACCACTGCCACAGCATGCAATCATGCTCACCAAGGATGGGACCACTGGGTATCACAGTAACCATCTGAGGACTCCTAGGAACGTGTTCATCTAGCAGCCGCACAATGTCATGATGCAGTTTTTCACCTGCCACATCACGTGGCAGCCTGTCCATGTGGTCTGTGATCTCACGATTTGCAAAGTTGTCAAGCAGTGCCTTGCAGGCCTCATAACAGCCTTCGCGTGCTGCCAGGAACAGTGGAGTCTCATCCTGTAATATCAGAACTTAACATAATCCCCAACCCATATTGATACATTGTATGTCAGAAAATCAAGACCACCACTGTCCTTTAACATCAGAATTAACTTTTCATAATAATTTTGTGTTTAACAAAGTGAAAAACATTCAGATAAATTTTGCACAAAATGAAGGACAGCATTTCAGTCATGAACATTACTTATCCGTGTCTAAAATCTTATAAATGGCAGGAAGCTTTTCACACATCTGCATATACAAATCACATTTTTACAATCACTAATATAACTCTCACACAATCCAAACAAAACATGCCCCTGCTCTTAAAAGTTAAAATGACATAATTTCAAATCCAGGTATACTGGCAATTTTGTTTACTCTGAAGCTAGCTCAGATTTCTATAAAGGAATTATGTGAAAGACAATCTGAAGAGTTATATGATTTTCATATATCCTACTGAACTTAAACACCACAAAGGTGCTCACTTTGGATGGACATCTTTAACTTGCCATACTTATAACCACGGCTGAGATAATGAGTAAATATTGCAGGTACTATAAGACTGAAGAGAAAATATATTCCAGCCACAGAAAAATACAAATACAGAAAGAGAAGTGTGGGCCAGAAAAGCACAGACATCATGAATACAAAATGAAACAAAATCCACAAAAAGTTACAAAATATCAAACAAGAGTGCAGAAATGTTTGACATTTATAATATGCTGTAAAGATTAAGCTTACCTTGTCATCCTGTGCATCTCTGTTTGCTCCATGTGCCAACAGGATGTTCACTGCATCTACATTGTTCACAGAAGCTGCCCAGTGGAGTGCTGTTTTACCACAGTTGTCAGCAGCATTGATATCAGCATCAGCATTAATAAGATCTTCCACCATTCCTTCAATAGCTAATCTTGCTGCTAGAATCAGTGGTGTAGTGCCATCAAGCATCCGTGCATTCAGGTTTGTGGCTCGGTTACGAAGAAGAATCTGCAATTGAAACGTCCAGCAATCACTATATAGGTTTTCCAAGATACAAATTCCACAAACCGTGAACACAGTACTTCCAAGTGTCTTCTTCTCACATTCATTCTCATATTGAAACTTTGCTACATTTTCAAAGGACATATTAACCACATTTATATCACCACTCTTTTGCCTGAAAGCAATAACATTTGTAAAACACTGTTCCCCATCTGATAAAAAAAAGTCTCACACAGAAACCCTTGTAACAAAGTCAGTAGATCTTCAGAATCCAGAACGCCATTGTCCGAATTTCCCGAATTCTTTCTGTGGGAATGCCTTTCCACAAAACTCATACTTTCCAAGAAGGTGAAAACTGAGCAAAACAATCCAAAATGTCTTTCTGCTTTACAAAGAGAAGCAGTTTCAGCCTTGCAATCACTCCCTAAGTCTGCAAGTACAATAACAATTTCACATCACCTGAAACACTCCCATAGCATCAGCTGCAACAGCTGCATGCAGAGGTGTTCTGCCAGTTTTATCCTGTGAGTTAGCATCAGCCCCTGCATCTAGAAGTCGCTTAGCAGCATCTGCTCTTGCATAGCGAGCAGCAAGATGAAGGGATGTCTCTCCAGTCTTTTCCAGTGTAGCGTTCAATTCTGCACCCTGGGCCACCAAGTCTGCTATTACAGCAGCTGTTCCATCCTCTTCCTCATCTTCGCCCGTGTCTATCCCACCACCACGAACAGCTGCCACCATGAGCGGTGTCATCCCACATGGTCCACGAACATTCACGTCCTGGGTTCCATCCTGCATCAAAATGAACACGTCACAAAGATTAAAGTGCATGTTCATCATGCCCTCTGGACTGTGGGAAACTGTCTTATGAAAAATACAATGGGCAATATAAATTCTTCTTGGGATATGGGGCATTAATCTTCTTCTGCAAAATGGGATATACTGTGACTGGCTAAAAAATTTGATGCAGATAAAAAAATAGACTGTGCGCTGTTGGCCCGGAAACGAGCA